CAGACAACCTTGATGATGTCACCTTAGTTAAGACCTCAGTGGCCTAAGAAAGGAAGTGATGTAATATGAATTCAAATAGAAGATGTTGGTATTTCTGGATGGGTGTTTACACACACATGACATGCTGTGAACTACTGGAGCTCTGACTCCATTTGCAATTGGTGATTTTATTAGTCCAAGTTTTACTGTTTGCTGCCATTAAAATGAAACATTGAAATTGACGTTATGTCACATATTTCAACTTCTTGTATGAGGAAAATTATAACCTTCTTAGAGTAGAGTAAAAATCATAATTCTTTCTCAATGCTGCTTTGGTGTTTTGATTGTGCTTAGGGCAGTTTTTAAGGCAATGAGATAAACACCCCTCTGTTTCTTCTGACTCTGTGTGTTTGTGTGTCTGTCCATCTCTTTCTTGTGCATGTGTGTGTGAAGAACTCTGATTCTCAGGAGGTACTGCAATTGGGAATCGAAGGCTGGAAGCTTGCAAATTAATGAAAATTAATAAAAATGAAATATTTGTATTAATTAAAAAATTAAAGAAAATAAAAAGTTAAGGTGGGGAATGACCTGAAGATTAGGCAGCTTGTCCCGGTTCTGTGGGGGTGTTTTTGCACTTCTTTTGTGGGTGTTTTACAACAAAATTTCTGTTGTTGCCTTTCCCGATTACACGAGATGGGCTGCTCAGAGAGGGTTGGCTTCTGCAGTCTCATTGCAGAAGTCAAGGCCATGCAAACTGATGAATGTCATGTGGACACATGGCTGAGAGTGAGCACGGGAGAGCTTTCTACGGAAGGGGAAGAGCACCACCTCCTTCTTTACAGGATCCTGGACAATTTAAACCTCCATCAAGGGGCTGTGGGTGGAATAGAGCTTCTAAGTGGATAAAGTTCTTGTAATAACCGCCTGTCGGGGGTAGGAGAGAGAGCATGCTGGTAAAGAACACTTGCTGTTCTTCCAGGGGACCAGAGTTCAGTTCTCAGTACTTGCGGTGGGCAGCTTACAGATGCCTGTACCCCCAGTGCTAAGGCATCTGGACCCCTCCTCCGGCCTCTGCGGGGGAACCCACCCACACACATATATATCATATATGTGCACATATATATATGTACATAAGGCATCTGCTTCAGAACAACCAATTATCGGCCCAACTAAGCACTCCCGATTTGACTGCATAGCTCGGTCTTGTGATGACCTTTTAAGGTGTTCTCCACAGGGATGGTCAGCGGCAGAACACTGGGCATCTTGTTATGGAAGACAGCATGTTCTAGCGCAGCCAGCACTCGTTATTTTTCAACCCTCTCTGCCTCTGAAGAGATGATGCTATTACAGAATAACATGTGCAAACGCTTCTATTCAGAGTGATGTGGGGCAGTATGGCACAGACGGTTACACCAATTTCTGCCCCTTGATGGAGTGACGATCTAAGAAGTGTTTCTAAAAAAAAAAAGAAGTGGTTCTAATACAACTGAAAGATGTTTCCGAGTTAACCATGGTAGAGATCAGTTCTTTTGTATTTGACAGTCAGTATACGCAGAGTGGATGGAGACCGGCACAAAAGTTTTTTCATTCTGAAAGTTTCTGCTTCTGTGTTAAGGCCCCCGAAGAGAATAGCTAACCAGAGGAGAAGGGGTTTTATGTACTTGAAAAGGAAAATTGCACGTGCACCTTGACTTATGGTGCTATTATGTTCTCATAGCTCCACCCATCTACACTGAAATGCCTTCAGGACATCCAGCATAGCAAATGCTACAGCCTGGACTTGCCTATCTTGAATACATTCAGAACACTTAGATTAAGTTTTTTTTTATATAATTTTCATTTTTTAATATTAATCACAGGTTATTTATTTTATATCCCAGCTGTAGCACCCTCCCTCATTCCCTCCCAATCTCTCCCTCCCTCCCTCATCTCCTCCCTGCCCCTTTCCATGTCCACTGTAGGGGAGGTCCTCCTCCCCTTCCATCTGACCCTAGCTTATCAGATATCTTTAGGACTGGCTAAAATGTTCTCCTCTGTGTCCTAGTAGGGCTGCTCCTCTCTTGGGGTGAAAGAAGGTCAAAGAGCCATTGAGTTCTTGTCAGAAATAGTCCTTGTTTCCCTTACTAGGGAACCTACTTGGATACTGAGCTACCATAGACTACGTCTGAGCAGGGGTTCTAGGTTATATCCATGCATGATCCTTGGTTGGAGAAGCAGTCTCATAAAAGTCCCCTGTGCTCTGATATATTTGGTCCTTGTAGAGCTCCTGTCCTCTCCTGGTCATACTAATTCCCCCTTCTTTCATATGATTCCTTGCACTCTGCCAAAGGTTTGGTATGAGTCTCAGCATCTGCTTTGATACACTGCTAGGTAGAGTCTTTCAGAGGCCCTTTGCAGTATTCTCATGTGCTGTTACTTGCTTTCTCCTACTTCCAATGTCCATCCCATTTGTCTTTCTAAGAACCTTTTTTTTAAACATACCCCAATATCATCTTAGAATCAGAATTGATGATTCCCTATCATCAAATAATAGTAATGTTTTTGGTTATCTCAGAGCATCCTTTTTTAAAATTAAGATTTATTTATTTATTTATTTATTCTTTATACAGCACTCTGCCTGCACATATGCCTTCAGGCCAAAAGAGCACATCAGATTTCAGTCTAGATGGTTTTGTGAGCTACCATGTGGTTGCTGGGAATTGAACTCAGGACCTTTGGAGCTAGTGCTCTTAACCTTTGAGCTACCTCTCTAGCCCCAGAACACTTAGATTAAGTTTTTAGTTAGGTCAATCTTCTCGTACCAAGGCTATCCCATAATAAAACATTGACCATCTCATGTAAATTGATGAGTGCTGTCCTGTGAATGAAAAACAAAAAACAAAACAAAACAAAAACCCCAAAAAACAAAACCCCAAAAATGCGAAGTTAAAAAAAAAATCCCAAGTCAAGCCATTTTATATTAGAAACTACCTACACTATAGTAACTGCTTTTTCATTGTTATATTAGCTTATATAGTAATGGATTTCACCGGAGCATTTACATATGCATGTCATTGTACTTTCCTTCTCCCTTGTAGATAGTAACTTCTTCTCTTAGAAAGGATAGAACAGCGATCATCTATTCAGCCCATGCTACTCTTGAACTCAGGCTCTTCTTGCTCAGCCTCCCAAGTGCTAGGTAACAGGCATGCAACACCTCCCTGGGCTCTGCTTAATGGCTGCTCACAAATGATGTATAGATGTGGTCTGTGCGTCTATATGCTATGATGTAGGAGCATCATGGGACTGATAAATGAAGTTGCCAAGGGGGATTCAATAGCCAGACGTACCGTCCTGTCTACTGAAGCCTCTTTGGCTGAAGCCAGAGACTGATTTTACCTGGGGTCTATTGCTAGTTGAGGTTAGCACTTGTTTGAGTCAGGCTTCTCTTGCTGGCAGTGGCTCTTTTCACTGCACAGGTTATTTCCAATTAAAAGAATATAGTGAAGAGTGTGTTTTCCTTATCACCTACTAATATAGACTAGCAAAATAAAGGACTCATGATATTTATTTTTGTCATTGCAAACAATATGTGGAGATTATTTTCTTTAAAGTGAATAAAATGAAAACATTATGTTTTTTGTAAACTAAAAGAAAGAAAACTTTTTTTTCTTTTTGCTTAAAAGTATCAGGCTCTAAATTTGTCTTTGTTATCTACTCTGGATACATTTTTCTCTAGTTCAATATAGAAAGTGCAATGTGCACACAGGACATATTTGTTTAGTGAATGAATAGCTCAAACAAAGCATTTGTTAGGAATCTACTAAACATGAGACTTGCTGATCACGTCTGGAAATCCAAACCCTCTCTTGCTGCTTTTAAGACAGTTTTGACATCCTTAAGGCAAATGCCTGCTCTTGAATGAATCACATCGGTGGTTTGTTTTCCATACCTGCTATTTTTTTTACAGTTGGTTTAAAAAAATAATTTCTTAGCTGAGCATGGCGGCGAATGCCATTAAGCTTAGCACTTGGGAAGTAGAGGCAGGCAGATCTCTGTTGGTTCAAGGCCAGCCTAGTCTACAACATGAGTCCAAGACAGATAAACCTTGTCTTGAAAAATAAAAAAAAGTATTTTCTTTTAAAATTATGTGTATGTCTATGTGTGTGTCAGTGTGGGGTTCATGTATGTCGATGCGTGTGCTCTCAAGAGGCAGAGGAAGATGTGGGACCTCAGTGGGCTTGGGTGGCGTGAGCTGCCAGATGCCCTGAACCTAATGTCTTTACTCTGACTCAGTCCCCTGCAGCTGTTTTTGTTTGTTTTTTTTTAATACTTATCTAATTACTATAAAAATATTTTTTGGGATTAAAAGTGTTTATCTGAAACCCATCCTTTTTTTTTTTTTTTTTAATCCCTTTTAGATGACAGGTCTCAAGTACAGCAGGGCTAATTTAAAACTGTAAATCTATTTTTATAGTAGGTAAATTGAGCTTCAAGTATTTAAATGGAAACACATAAGTTACTGAGAATTTTAAATGGAAGGAGACTGAACTACTGACTCTCAAATATTACTTACAAGTCTGAGAAATGATGGCCTCTCCTTGGGCTCTGAAGGGATGTCCTCTTGTCATTTTGAACAAGTGACAGAATATTTGCTGTTGTCCAGTTCTCAGCAGTAAATATTACCCATAAACTAATCCTCATCTTTTCATTATCCTAAGTTATGTGAAACTCAGGAAGAATGTATGAAAACACTACATTTTCTAAAGGATCATGTCAAAACACAATGTTTGGAAAAGTAGTTCCTGGGATGTCTAAAATTTAGTTTGAGTTGTAAAATTCAAGTATGGGCTGAGGTGTTACAACCCTGCATTTTGCACTAAAAATTAGCTTCGGAAATCCACCTTATTACCATTGAGCAGTGCCATCTGATTGATTTGCCCAGAGCTACGTATTTCCATGGTCCTTGGAGCACCCGTCCTTCCTTTTGGTTCTGAAAATGAGATGCGCTCCTCCTCCCTTGTTGGAGCATCAGTTTTTACCTGCCAATACAGTTTGATGAGCTTGCTTACGCTGTGTTCACTTCCTCCGCAGAGCCAGAACATGTAGTCCGCAATCATGGCACTCCTTGGAAGAAGAAGAGATGTAAAGTACCATGAATTTACAAGGCCGAGGCAAACTGTCATGGACAGTACGCGCAAACCCCAGAGAAGGTTTTACATTGGGCACATTAAACTGGAGTAAGACTAAGCAAAACAAAACACAGTTTTAGGAGGTAGAAGGTAGGTGGATTCGTTTCTCAAGCTATATTGAAACTGTAAGAGAAGGGAAGAGCTGCCATTTGTCTTCTATACGGTTCTTCCATTTGAAAAACCCAAGAATACTTAAAAACTTCCAGAGATGTTTATGCTTTGTTTTGGTTCCTTTGTATTAAGCCTCAAAAGATGTACCGAATAGCAGATCCTAAAGGTCCATATTTGTGGGGCTGTGTTTCATGGCAGCTCTATGCTGTACCTAGCAGACTTCCAAGCCAATCACAGCTCTGAGCTAGTAGGTGGGCGTTTAAGTGCACTTCATACTTTACCTGAGTTAAAAGATTATTTATCTCTGATTAAATTTGCATTTTACAACTGAAAATTAAAAAAACCCTCCAATTCAACAGATAATCCCCTCCTCCTAAGTTTGTGTCTAATTGAATTAGCTTCCAGATGTAGTGCGAACAGTCACTGCATTGGTCTTATTAAGCTGAGGGGATATTAAAAGTATTGTGGAATGGATATTAATTCATTACTTAGCACCCCTTGGAAAAACAGTTTACTTTTATGGCTGTTTCTTTGCTAGGCTTCTCTATTTCTTTTTCCCCAGAGATTGCAAATCCAATTAAATGTGACTAGAAGTAATTCCAAATTGTCACGTTAGCCAATTAAACATATAATAATCCTGTGTACCTAATCACTAGTACCAAAAGTTTATTTATTTAAGTAGAGCTATCACTGTGTACTCTTGTGTGTTTTTCTTATCTTCGCCTGCAGATACGTGTTGTTTCTTGACATCACTGTAAATTGAATTAGAAATGCTGCTTCCCTAAATATAGGTTGTCTGAGGCACAGAATCTATAAACTTCCTAGTGCACTCTTCCCAAAGAATTAAAACATTTACGTTCTTGCTCAGGACAAACAAAAATTAGCACTTTAAAAATTAACAGTGGGGGCTGGGCAGATGGCTCAGTGGGGAAGAGCATTTGCTGTGCAGGCATGAGGACCTGAGCCCAGACCCCCAGCATCTGTATGAAAAGCTAGACGTGGGTTATGCATGTGTACGTCCGCCACCCCATAGCTGTGGGGTCCTGCGGATGAGGGAGCACTGCAGGGCCTTCTTGCCAACATGGCTCCACGTTCAGTGCAAGCCCCTCTCAAGGGAGTGAGGAGGGAGTTATTGAACAGGTTGCCTATTGTTCCCCCTTCCCCTTTGGCTTCTGCAAGAACACATGAGAATACATTGTGGACTCATGTTGCACACACACACACACACACACACACACACACACACACATGCACACACACACAATGGGAAAAACAACAACGTTTGGAGGATTACTCAAGTCAATGGCTTCTTCATACCCATGGAATATTGGAAAGGGGCTGTGTGCTAACATTTCAAATAAATGACAGTTACCTTTTAAGAATCCTGTCATGTTTTCCAAAGGCTGTAATGATAAGCCGAAGTAGGCTAGGAGGCTTTGACATTGTGTGAATATGTATGGCGCATGAACGAATTAAGAAAATCACAGACAGCAGGAGGCAAAGCTGCATTTCAGATGTTTGCATCTGGGAGAAGCACCTGGAAAGTCTTCTCAGACTGACCCAAAAGCAAGCCAACTGGTCATGTAGGTGCCTGTGACCCAACACATTCAGCTGACAGTTCCTAATTGAAGGGACCATGAAAAATGTGGAAAAACTTACTCTCAATGGCAGCACATGTGGTTTTTATATGAGTTGGGGACTCTGTTGCTGTCTTAGTCTGTACCTGTTTCCTCCTTCCACTGGAATTTGGTTGTGTGACTAAGGCTTGAAATAGATTCAAATTGGGAACGTAAGTCAGAAAGCCATTTGCCCATTGCATCTGCTTCTCCAGGGGAATGGACAGCTCTGCTTGTCCCACCTGCCTTTGGTTCCTGTCAGAGCTCTGCTCCACAGAACAGCCTTGGGAATCATTGTAAGCATGTGGAGAAATACGAGAAAGTGCGTGGAAGCATTATGTCATGTGATATTTGTGAGCCTACAGACAAAGGGTTTTCATCATGTTGAATTAAAAAAAGAGAAAGAAAGAAAGAAAAAGGGCAAAGATAGCCAAGACATCTACTGAACATCTCTAAGGATTCAAGTCCCAGAAGAGATCGAGGCTCTGGCAGACGGCAAATGCAAACGTTACCCATGGTTCTTCTTACTCTCCATCGGGTGACTGCTTACTATCAACAGCCCTCTATCTTGAACGTTAGTCCCCATGATTCAGCGTTACTGTCTTTGTTTCACTGTCAGCATTCTACGCATCTGACTGTTGTTAGTATACTCTGATCACAAGATCATATCAGCTCATTCCCTGTAATGAATGAGCTTAGGACTTCACTATCCATCCGTTCTTAACTGCTGAGCACCATATGAAGCACTTTACACGGCAGAAAGTGAGCCCAACACACCAGCTTCCATGTGGGATCTCACTCAGTTGAGCCAGCCATGGGACCACTCTAACGACTCTCTCTCTGGTTGCTCTTCTCTTTCAAATTCCCCCTTTCTCCTAGAGGCTACCTGACAGCTCACAAAGATGTCTTTTGCATCATAAACTCTTTTGCCTCACTCCTCCAGTTACTACCTTCTTTTCTTCTCCATTAAAAAAACTAAGCAAGAAGGAGGACCCTGGGTAATATGCTCAATCCTCATTCAGAAAGGCAAATGGGACAGACATCAGAAGAGGGAGAAAACAGGAGCAGGACAGGAGCATACCACAGAGGGCCTCTGAAAGAATCAGCAGGGTATTAAAGCAGCTGCTGAGATTCATAGCCGAATCTTTGGGCAGAGTGCAGAGAATCTTATGAGAGAAGGGGTAGATAGAAAGAACTGGAGCAGACAGGAGCTTCACAAGGAGAGCAACAGAACCAACAAAATCTGGACACAGGGGTCTTTTCTGAGATTGATATTCCAACCAAGGACCATTCATGGAAATAACTTAGAACCCTGGCACAGATGTAGCCTTAATGGCTCCTCAGTGTCCAAGTGGTTTCCTTAGTAATGAGAACAGGGACTGTCTCTGACATGAACTCATGGGCTGGCTCTTTGATCACCTCCCTCTGAGGGGGGAGTAACCTTACCAGGCCAGAGAGGAAGACAATGCAGCCAGTCCTGATAAGACCTGATAGGTTAGGGTCAGAAGGAAGGGGAGGAAGGCCTCCCTTATCAGTGAACTTGGGGGAGGGGTAGGGGCAAAAATGAGGGAGAGAGGGTGATATTGGGAGGGGACAAGGTAAGGAGCTACAGCTGGGATACAAAGTGAATAAACTATAATTAATAAAATTTAAAAAAAGTAAAAAAAAAAAAAAAAAAGAGGGCTCTATTCCTTCTCGTGCCACCAGTGGTTCTATATTGGCCAGGGTGGTGGCTCACCTCTGTCCCAACATGACATGCATTCTTTGATGCAGGGGATGACTTCCTGATTGACTTTCTTTCTGGTTTTCTCCTATGTCCTTGTTGTTCTCTTGAGTCTCCTTGGGGTGCTCCTAGGGTTTAATGCTTGGACCTTTTCACTTTCTTTTTGATTTCACTTGTTTGGTGAGCATATAGGTTTCATGGTTTTAAGTAAAAATTAGTCTTTGGCAAGTCAATTGTTCTGCCATGGGTCTGAACCACTTTCTGAATCTCCAGAACCCTCTGTGAATTCTGTTCTCAGCCTCTCTACTTCACCATATCTCTACAAGAATGTCAAACTGGGACTCTGATCTTCCTTTCTTTCTCCTAATACCTAGCAGTCTTCTTAGATTTTTCTCTTTTGTGCTTTTTGCTTTATTTTTAATCAGTATATAATACTTATCTAAGTTCTGGAGGATAATATATATATATATATATATATATACACATATATGGATATATACATGTATATATATATATATACATATATATATATATACATCTACATATATATGTAGAAGAATTTTAATTCGGAACATGGCTGCTCTGGCAAGAGATCATATCCAAAGACCTTCTAGGTCTGTGTGATCCAGCTGGCATACAAACACGCCTTTAATCTAGGAGACAGAGAAAAGCAGATCTCTGAGTTCAAGGCTAGACTGGGATAGAGCAAGTTTTAGGTAAAGAAAAGGTAAGGTTCAGGCATGGTGATATATACCTTAATCTCTAATAATGAAGGTAAAGTTAGTTTGTAGACTGAAGTATCCATGTTTGGAAGTGATGTCTAATTGAGTGGCAGAAACAGTTGCAAATCAGAGAAGACTTGACAGAATAGGATACGCCCAATTCTCATGAGAAGAGAGGGAAAGGGAAGCTACTTAAGAGGCAGTGCAGAGAGAGAGGAGGCAGTTTTACCAGGACTGTAATAGAAAAGTTGCAGAGAGAGAAATCAGGTGAAGACTGAATGAGCTTGAAGATTAGAAAAGATCACAGAAGTTAGTTTGAGGCCAAACAGAGCAATTCAGAGAGAAAAGCCAGACTGAGTAAGTCAGCTGGGAGAGGAGTTTGAGCCAGAACGGCTGAGTTGAACCAGCCAGCCCAGAGCTCAGTAATAAGAAAGGGTGAGCTTATTAAGCAGTAAGTCTCAGAGGCTGAAAACATTTTGGGCCAAGGCTAGAAGCTTCCAAGGCTAAGCCTAGGTTAGCAGAAGGAGGCAGCAAGCCTCAGAGACAACAACTGAAGCAGGTGAATAAAAGTTCGTTTTACACATACCCACACTCATACACACATAAATATGTAAAATGAACATATATATACATATATATTGTATGTACTGTGTGACATAATCAAATCTTCATAATTAGCATACCTATCACTGAAGTTCTTATTCTTTTCAGTGAAACACTCAAAGCTCTCTTTTTGTGAAACTGAAATTATACTACATTACTA